GGGTTTAATATATTGAGAGAGACTTACTAAAAGAGAGATCTCCAAAAACGAGACACTTCAAAAAAGCGTAATATCACGAAAATACTACTAACTGAAAACTATCAAGAGTAAATATCAAGGCAGTTAAATATCACGAGTGATAAGGATTAAGAGAGTTAAGTATCGAGAGTAAATGAGTATTGAAAATTGCGCCCCTTATATACATTTGCTGACCATGAATTTTACTTGAATCCCTTCCCTTATTTTCTGTCCAATCAGAAACTCCTCCCTTATAGTGTGAGGACCTCTTTTGGCTTCGGAGTTAATTAAGTGCTTATTCGTCTCTGGGTCTTCATGATGAGCAGATCTCTGGTCGCTGCTGCCTCATGCGATAGCATGTAGGCGGCGGAAAGGGGGGGGGGGGTGCTGACACATCTGGTAACAGCATTGCAACTTGTTGACAGCGTGAAGGGGAAGGAAGGTCCGCTTACAGTAATGCTTGATGTAGTTGCCGAGCGGAACGAAAATGCAGATGTCAAAACTATAGGTTTTTCCGTGTTTATGGTATTGTTTTTCCAGATGTTTTATGACACTAATGCGTGAGAATTTTGAGCAAGCGAAGTTTTGAAATCCAAATACAAATTTTACGATGTTACTTGCCAGATGTTTTATTGTACTGACAAAAAAGGAAAAATGTTCTCGCATTCTCGAACACATACTTTACACGATATATTATTGTACAAAATGTATTTACCGTTCCGACTTGTTTTACCAAGACCGATTTGAAGGATACAAATTAATGCCATTGACAACTCATAGATCACGAGTGTTGTGTGATAGCGATGAAAGATCACAAGTGGAAGAAATATTATAATAATGCAATATAAATGTAGCTGATGTATGCTGTTTATTCTATTATTTATTCAATGACAAGACTTGACTAGTATTACGATTATTAATTATTGAAATAACTCTTGTGGTGGATGAATGTACACTCATCTATGCAGCGTGGTTTGAATATGAGCCCAGAATGGCGCGAAGTTTGATTCGTCGACACTCGCGTTGTTTGTATGAGCACGTGCGTATTTGGGTTATGGTTGTAATAGAGCGCAACACGTGTAGTTGTTCTTACTTGATATATATACTCGTATCGTAGCAAGCGTACCTTGTTCTGATATTTTCGCACTGGAATAAATTCATATGGAAGTAAAAGTTTGAAGGGCTGTTACCTGGCAAAGGATACTGCTATGTGTTGCGTCTGTTATGAGCGGTGAATGATTCGCTGCGTATATTCATAAGGGTCAGACTTTGAATTAAGGTGAGGGTTTGCCGACAAGACGCGCATCAGCTGGCGCGAACTTGGTGACGCGATTGGAATTTATTCCGCACTGTTTCTCTGGGGAGAGCCTCTTTGTCCTTAGTTGCTTGTCGATGACGTAATCTCTGAATCTTAGAGGTTGGTGAGTATTGTAGTAATGATACTACTTACGAAGACTACTAGTATACTTAATATCGGAACTTCCTTGTTCCTTCTTCAAAAGGGCTGTCACTGGACACTTGTCTTCGAACTCCGATATGGGAATACGTCTCCCGCCAATAGGACTTGTAATTATAGTTGTCTTGAACTACGTTAATATGAAACTTCCACTTCTTATTTCAATAAGTACTGTATTGAGTGTGTTTGAATCATGAAAGATGCGCCCCTTAAATACATTTGCTGACCATGAACTCCAATCAGAGACTCCTCCTTTACAGAGCAATGGCAACGCCTCTTGTAGGTTCATATTTAATTAAGGGCGTAGTCATCTCTTGGTCTTCACGGCAAGAAGAGCTCTCGTTGCCGCTGACGCATCTGGCGACAGCATGACAACTTGTCGACAGCGGGAAGGGGGGGGGGGCAACGTGTATTCCATAGCGTTTGAAGTAGTTACCCAACAGATCGAATTCGTACAGATGCCTAAAGAGTGGATTTTTCCTATGTTTATTGTCTTGTTTTTCCAGATTTTTTATGACACTACTGCTAGATGGTTGCGAACAAGAAAGTTTTGAAATCTAAATACAAATTTTCGTTGTTGTTTCACCAGATATTATATTGCATTGAAAAAGATCTCGCAATCTCGAACAATTATAAAATATCATTTAGTAGATATTTTTTATTATAAGCGATTCATTATAAGCTCCCGGACATTTACGTTTATAAACACAATTCAGTGAATTCGCGAAATTTCCTAAGCCGAAAACTCGAATTTACAATTATAATTCCGAATAACAATGCCGATGAACCTTCCAAGGCTATATCCTACTGACGTTACAACAATGATCGGCATAGCAACAGACACCGGTGCGCTATCGGCGTTGCAAGCTCTTATGAGAATATTTAATAGCAACGCTTGACGCGCAGCTTCACTGTGCCAGTAATAATTACGCAGTCACTAGGACGGGCTCACTATTCGATCTTCAAGCATTCATACTATAGTCATCACTCACTGTAGCTATACAAGTACGTAATCATCACGTATTAAACTAACAAACCAATAGTGACGCCACACTATCAGAATCCGTTAAACTAAACTTAAACTCATATACGAGAAGCGCTAGTGTAAACATAACCGAGAGTGAAATTATCAAAGCTACATTCATTAACGGATCACACTGACGACTAAAGCAGCAGCAACTCAGATCTTCTTTTAGTAAGCATGGGTTACAATAACGGCGGCTCTCACGTACCCTATAATTACACTGGCGGCAAAGACAGCAACGTCTCACTCGCTCCCTTGGCATGCACTGATAACTATAACGACACTTCTCGGAAGGGAAGGAGTCACGCCTCACATCACTAAGAGTAAACACACTCTCCTCAACACGTAAAACAATTGATGAAACTTCAACAATAATTCATTCAAACTTTCATTCATACACTTTTATGACCATTAACTATTATTATTTTATTGTATTTAATAAAGGACAGACAAGATACACATCCACCATCAACGGGAGGTTTTTAGTCTGATCCCAGACAACTGTCAAATATTATTTATCGTTTCTATTTAACAATAAAAAACATTTAGACAGAATTGAAATCTATAATATTTATTGTTTAGAATTTATAACTGTATAAACATGAAAACAAAATATTACATATTTGTACGAAAAGTAAATTAAGAAACGAAATCTTTGTATAAATCATTAATATATTAATTAATTTAGGAATAATTGTAATATTATAGAATATATCGGAGTGTGCATGTGCATGGAAGTATTCTCATATATGTGCAAAAACGTACATGGCTGTACGTAGACATACATTGATCGACATTGACGCAGTTTCCACGAATTTAAGAAAAAGTGGGTCATACGCACTGTACGACGCACGGCTCGCGCGCTCGGGCGAAAATTTATAAAAAAACTCGGCAAGTCCTACGACTCGTGTAAGAATAAGTGCAACAACGACGATGCTTTGTTGCCAGCTAAATAAACCGCCGCATGGATATATAAGACAAGAATGTGGCGCGCCTCGCTCTCTTGCTGAAAGCCTTTCTTGCTGACCGGCACATTTGCCGAACCACCCTCGCTCAACTGCGCTTGTGGCTAACATCTTGCCGTAACCCGATCTAACAGTTAACTCTCTTCCAGTTGAAGCCATGGCACACGGATCTCCATCTGCCCTTAGCAGGACCGCCGTGGAACGGTCGGTATTTTCAGTAGAGCCGCCACGGAACAGTCAAGCCTTCGGTTCCTGCGCGTATTCAAAAGGCTCATACGCTCATAGTAATCCTACTTCGCACTCACTTAACGGTAATTGCCGCTCAGTGTTTTAGCATATACTGTGACGACGTCACGTGGCCATAAATTCGGCAGCTTAGTAAATAATATACGTGTGCATTATTAAAATGAAATCAGCAGATTTAGTAATGATTTACAGTAAAGCCAATTGGAATAGTAATCAAAGGGGACATCAATTACGCAGCAATAACACACCTAGTCTGCAGCTCACAAGATACACTTTTTATTTTAATAAATAAGCTAGTCACACATCGCACAAGAATAAATCGGGCAATTTCACATTCTCTCAGTCGAACAAATGCTTCGACCCCGTAAAACCCCACAAGAGTCGATCGGGCAAACTTACGCTCTCTCGAACTAACACTTCGAAACCGGACAGGCCCTCAAACAGTCGACAGGTGATAAAGCACGCTCTCTCGAACTAACCCTTCCTCGTCGTGCATACCCCGAAAGTCGACACAATTGACGCAATAAGTCAAGTTCATTGTCAAGTCCAGACAACAGTCCAGACTAATCGACCATAAATATAAATCATTAAGTCCTTCAAAAGCTCGAAGGCTTATAAGTATTACTCTTGTGTGTGACTAACTCTTCTACTGCCCTTATAAATAATTAAAGACGCAATTGATTACTCAATAAATTCCATTAAACATCTTACACCAAGTATAGTTATTCCATATATCAAGTATAGTTATTCTATATATCAAACATACTTGATTCAAACACCATCTTCTCATTCTACCTCAAAGAGCATGATTGACTACACCTGCTGATATTTACAACATCAGCATTATATTTATAGCATTATTTCCTTTAAAATTATCCTGACGAGAGACTAATCCACTGAACTATTGAATTGGTAGTTCGAGCCATAAACTAAACCTTTAAAATCGAACATACATATATGTAGATGTGTGAAAGTGTAAACGCAATATCAGATTATTCTGTTATACATGATTATTCTCTTCCTTATTCTATCAACATAATATACCAATGTATTTTTTGTACAATTTCTTCTCTCTCCTACTCTTCGATACATTCAATATTAAGTTATGACGATTTTCACTACTTTTCTTTCTACAGCAATGAATTAATCTATGCATTTTATTCTTTTGTTTTGTTTTTCACCTATCGTATAATTTAATTATATATTACTAAATTAGCTAGTTTCACACTATTTAATGATATGGTATGAGCGCGCGAAGCATTGTTTGGTAAACATTGGCCAACGGACTCAACCAATGCTTCTAACCGAAAAATTCGAACATACGACTATTATTCCGAGAAATATTAGCAAATGAACCCCCAAAAATCTATGCGTAATTGACGTCACACCAAATTATGGCATAGTAACAGCCACCGATGTGCTATCGGCGCATCGATTTTGTCCGAAAATATTTAAGGAGCTGCACGCGCCGCGATCGCCACTCTGTTTGCACATTAAACAGTTCCCGCCACCACGTGCAAGTAACGCCGACTCTCATTCTGCATAGTATCTTACATGCGATTTACGCCCGCATGTAAGTAACGTCGAAGCTATTTCTTACCTTTACCTGTACACCGCGAGTTACGCTCGCATCGAGTACACGAACGTGTACCAACACCACCACTACCTTGGAGCTCACAGACACAAGCTGTGACGTCACACGGACGTTCTCCCACCACTTCGTGCACTACAGCTCACCCCTTCGCCGGCTGCCAAGACGGCACTAACTTGCCAAGAATACACGCAAAGACTCGTCGTTACTGCTACTACTGAAGAAACACTAATAAATTCACTACATCATAACTCATTATAATAATTAATAGATTATTAACTACTCATTACTTATTACATTAATAAAAGTAACTACTACAAACAGAAAGGACCGTATTGAATAATTGCATTGCCCCTGACATTTGCCAGCAAGCCTCCACTCACCAATCATAAGGAGGTTTTTAGTCTGATCCTAGACATTCACCTACCGTATAATTTAATTATATATTACTAAATTAGCTAGTTTCACACTATTTAATTAATTTATAATTAATACTAATTATTTTAAACAATAATAAAAAATGAATAAAAACACAATAAATAATTAATACTAAACTATTTAATAGAATGAAAGTTTTAAAGATAGTTTTTTTCATAACTTTGTAGTTTTGTTATTCAAATAGTGTTTAAAATAATCAATGCCTTACTAAATTTAAAAATTTTAAACATAACTACATAAAATAAAGTTTATAAAAGCAACTGACAATTGAAGTGTGAAATGTCAATGAAATACCTTGTGAAATATCATTATTCGTACTATCATTATATTAATTCAAATTATCATTTTAATTTGTTAATATGGAATAAATTTTAATAAACAATATTATAAATTAATATTAAAATATATATTAAATAAATATAATAATTGCACTACACTTTTTTTTATTTAAAAGATATACCTTCAATAAAAGATTAATTGGAATATTATATATATTAAAGTCGGTATTCGCTCATATGATGGTAATATCTAATAATGACGAACCTGTACAGCATTCTTCATATTAGTAATAATACTGGGTTTTTTTGCTTTACTTGCATCAGATTTACTTCTTGGACGGAAAGCATCGAAAATTATATTTTTTCTTGATGGGCTAGCAGTATCATCAATTGTATTGGTAATACTATTTTTCTTACGTTCTAAACTATTATTTTGACTAATCTCAGATTGAATATCCCAACATTTTCTAGTTATTTCGACATGTTGAAATGGTTGCGGAGTTGATTTACCCGAGACTGGAGCACTATTACCTAATGACGTTTTTTGAATTGTTCGTGAATGAGAACCCCAAGTACCTATATAAGTAATGAAATACATTATTTAAAATTTTCTAATAAATTTAAAAACCTGCTGATTTAGTACCTGCTCTTGGTCTATGACAGTACTCTTTTAAGGTAAGCATTGAATTATCCATGTCTTCTGTAATGATTGTTGGTAAAGGCTGTGAACCAAGCTCCTAAAGAAAAATAAAATAAAATCATTTTCAAGTGAAGTATATATCACAAATATTTTATATTTTACATTTCTATTTTTTATTATAAATTTATTTCATATATATATTTATTTTCTCATTGATGAAACACAATGAAAGAGTTTATTTTACCAAATAAATTCAGTCGAACTTTATAACTTATCTGTTTTTACTCAAAAGTAAACTAAAGTTTTCTTTTCGCAGAAAAATTATTTTAAATACATGTTTGTAATGGTTAATTGAAATAGAAATTCCTTATATAGGTGAAATAAAAATTATTTGAATTTTAAATTTAGATAATTTAAAAAAATTAATTTTAATAAACAACGAACATTTTAATACAATCACTAATTCGAATCATGGGACATATTTTGTACACTCGTAAATATGAAAATTTTTTTAATCTAATTATTGTTTTCAAGATCAAATTAAAATAAGAAAAAAATAAACAATTGTGGTAATGAGAAAATAATTTATTTTTAGTATTTGTTTGAGAATAAGACTTCGTTTAGTAAGGCAATAAAATATCTGACAAGTAATGTCATGAAAATTGTATTTAAGACTTCAAAACTTTCCTGCACATAATTATTTGTACTAGTGTCGTAAAACATCTGGAAAACTCTAGCGGAACGTGCTCATACTCCCAGTGCAGTAGAACCTAATGGGTTTACTGCTGCGAGAACCCCAAAGTAGATTCAGAACGAATATCAGATATGCGTGAAGCATGGAGTACAAATATTTACTGCAACCCAAAACCCGTACGTACTACACATGCAATGACCATACGTGCTCACTCGGCCTCATCTGGTCGATCGTATTGGAAATATGGAAATTCTTCTAGCCAAGTCCCAGAGAGGGATGAGGCAACCAAAGAGAGGTGACCAATGGAAAAGGCTCGCCACCTTCCGACACTTTCCCGATTAGCAAATTCGGAACTGAGCCCGAAAGGAAATGGAAATGAAGGCGTGCATAATCTATTGTGCGACCCAAGATCAACCACTGATTGGTTAATTAATAAAGGAAGAAGGGATCCCAAGTGGAGCGGGATCAGTGAACCATTTAAGAAGGGACTACGTAATGTACCCTCACTTACTCTTTCCAAATACTTCTTACAGTATAAGGATAAGTCACGACTTACTCTTACAGTGAAGGATAAGTCACGACCAACTCTCACGGAGGAGGACCGGAGAGATGAGTCGTTTAGCTAGCTGAGTTTTAATAATAAGTTCTTTCCACTATTGTGAATTAGTGTACAGTTGAATTGATCTCATCAAGACTGGATTGCGTGGGACCTGACCACTTGTGGTCTCACTTGGAGACAAGGAAGAACTGAAGGGTTGCAACATTGCAAGGGAACGTAATAACAAGCCATCGAAGAGAGACTGGAAAATCACGATACACTGCAAGTAAGTCCTTACAGCTAGTACTCATTCTTGATTTCTCGGCTTATGTAGAAGACGGACGGATAAAGTCCAACTACGGAAGCTTCCCGGACATACTCTTGAACAAGACCAGCTATAAACGCTACATTGGCTTCTCAATCCCTCCAACTACAAGTTGTTCCCGCACAGCTTGGCATAATCTCTATTTAGGCTCTCTTACGACCTATATTTATGGGCAACTGCACACGTGTGGAATTGACACACAATATCTATTGTAATGTTCGATCAGAGCACTACAATAACCATAACCTCTTAGTGATAATATTCAATAGATTATAACCTGCTTCATTCATAGTAAATATATTTCAACACCACAAGATTATCAAGAAATATAAAGTTCGTCTGTAATTCACCATTTTGTAAATCAATTCAAATAAATAGAAATAATAAAGACATGTGTTAATTATTAATCAGTGCATTCACCCTTTACTTGCCCGGCAACCCCACATAACATCTAGTGGGTTTTATTGTTCTACGTTAATTATTGCACGTTTGGCTAACGAGTTAAATTGAGGGATTATTTTCCGAACATTTGGTCCTTCGAGCCGGATTAGTGAAGGTTGGTGTATGGTTTAGTATTGACACACTAAAGAGAACGATTTATCAAGTAATAGAAAAACATCTTAACCATCCATATTATCCAAGATTTAATTATATACATCACTAAACAAGCAAGGGAAAGCAGTGATGAATGGCAGCATCAATTGCGAGTGGAGCAAGAGTCACTCGTAGTGCTACCAAGGAAAGACTATCCAACGAACATATGTTCAAGGCATCAGGACAGTTTAATCGGATAGCAATTATCAAAACATTGATAGAAAGTCTTCCCACATCTCACTTAGAGGCAGACATTGATGAAATAATATGCATAAATGAAGCCATTGATGAAATTCATAAAATGTCCAATACGGCACATCAGTACATTGAATCAACTTGGCCATCGATATTTATCACTCATGATTATTTCACATAAAATGTACAAGAAAGGGGAAGCAATGATGATATGGCAGCATCAATTACGAGTGGACCAAGAATCACTTGTAGTGTTGCCGAAGAAAGACTGTCCAACGGACATGCTCTTGTTGCAGCAGGACAAGTCAATAGGATAGTCGCAAACAATGCAGAAGGGTGTGACAGTCCCAAGCAAGCTGCCCACCTAAACATGCAAAAACTCCTTACTACCGCCACCTCAAAACCCAGGTCTTGTTGCATCAGGACAAGTCAATAGGATAGTCGCAAACAATGGAGAAGGATGTGACAGTCTCCAGCAAGCTGCCCACCTAAACATGCAAAAACTCCTTACTACCGTCACATCAAAACCCAGAATCACCCTTGATAAGCCTCAGATATAGTATTGACAAATCTTGAGGAATCCAAGGAGTAAACCTCAAATTTCAGTTACAACAACATGATTTAACGATCTCAAAACATCTTGTGTAGTGACACCTCCTATACAAGAAACCATTGAAGAAATCGCATCTTTACATTAGATCAAGAAAATTCTACAACACTAATAATAAGTTGTATCATAAAAACATAATTAAACTAAAAAGAGGGAATAATCTGTAATAGTGTTTACCTCACTGTAAAGGGCAATCACAATGAAATTAACGGTTAACTAACGAATTAAATCAACTTGTGTTCACTGTCGAAAGGAATCATCTACTGATAAATTGCAACAATCACGAAGTCGCTAATCACAGATAAAGGGAGCAACAAGCAATTTATTGAAATAGTCCAAAGAGTGTAGATAGCATAACGAAAAACAACACTACCACACCACGCGAGTCTTAAGGTATGGTCAATCACATCAGCATTCTCAAGGCCACACATTCGACACAGAAGTGTCAGTATCATTCCGATTATTTACTGACAGTATTAGCTGAAGAAGAAAAACTATAGTTTTACGAAAACTAGCATTAGTAGTTTCGATTCTGTGCTTCACATACCCTTTAGAACAAGACAATCAATCACGTGGTCAGGCTTTCATAAAATTTCACATCTCGCGTCTTGCTCGCGATACTCAGTTTCATATCTCGCGTCTTGCTCGCGATACAACCTATTGAAATTTATAATTCGCGCTATGCTCGCGATACATATAATTTTATAATTCGCGTTATGCCCGCGATACATACAATTTCACATCTCGCGTCTTGCTCGCGATACTCAGTTTCATATCTCGCGTCTTGCTCGCGATACATACAATTCATATCTCGCGTCTTGCCCGCGATACAATTTCATATCTCGCGACTTGCCCGCGATACAACCAATTGAAATTTACAATTCGCGTTATGCCCGCGATACATTATAGCTTTATAGCCTTTATAGCAGAAAAATCACAAGAACACATCTTTTGAATAATCCAACAGAATATTTATTTCTACACAACAGTGCAATATTATTATAATTGTTTACACTCATTAAATCTTGTTTTAAAATAAATATATTATATTTTTCAGCCTTGTCCGTTATTGATTTCCTTTAAAAATTATCCTGCCGAGAGACTAATCCACTGAACTATTGAATTGGCAGTTCGAGCCAAAAGCTAACCCCTTTAAATCCGAACACCCGTGATACATACAATTTCATATTTCGCGTTATGCTGCAATACAAACTCAAATTTCATATTCGTGTTATACCCACAATAGATTCAAGTTTAACTCGCGCTGAAGCTCTACGACACTCAAGCTCGTGGTCAGCTCCTCATAAGCACAAGTTCGCATTATGCCCGCGATCCAATCAAGCATCAAGCTTTCGCATATATCCACTATAGACATATTCATATAAGTAAGCTGATTTTTTAGCTACACAGCGCACATTGTAATCGATTCTGCAAAACCGACAAGGTACAAGCTCAAATTCTTACAACCAAAATATAATTCACTATACAAGGCAACAAGCCGCCGACAAGCAATATGTCAACGAGAGGATTAAGATAGGATCAAAGGAGATGTTTAATCTCCGGACAAGAAATAAGGCATATGAACCTAGTCATACCTAACTCAAAACAAGTGGGACCTCAATAAAATCATAGGCATATAAGACAAACAAAGAGGTACCATACCAGTTGACAACAGTCGACAACACCTGCAGAAGAATATTTCAGGACTAAGGAGAACATGAAACTTCTTCATTCACTCAACTAAGCATAATTGGTCAAGGGAAGATTTAATGAAATTCTTTAGATAAAGGCAACCCACCCTTGTCAGATATTTTATTGCCTTACTAAACGGAGTCTCTCATTCTCAAATATATAGAATTATTTGTATTCATGATTTCATTAATTTTAGATTTCCTTTTTGCATGATTATTTTAATTATCCTATATTGACAGTTAATTACTGTACGAACAGCTTCTGTAACAACAATGCTTAAAATAATTATAAATATTACTTAATTGTACATTAATAGCAACTAAAAAGTCATAAATAGTATTTTAGTATTGCAGAAAAAAACATATATGCATACAGTACAATATATTGATACGTGGTGACAGATAATCAGTTGATCTAATACAAAATTGTACTTAATCATAATAATATATATATATATATATATATATAATTACTTTTTATTTTTAAATATTTTTGTTATATACAATACTTTATTTGACCAAAATTGTATTGTTTTACATTTTACTAAATTATTAATTAATATTTATAATTATAATTACTTATATTGTTTTTATATTCATTTAAATCACACAACAATATACTAATTTAACATTTTAATTATTTATGTATAAAAACGGTTTATAAAGAAAAGTTTATTCAATTTCCAAAAGAACGTTAAATTATGTTTTGTTAAATATATATAAAAATGGAACTTATTGCTAATCAGTTAAATTCTCTATATTTATAAAAATAAGTTTAATTTAATCCATCCATGAAATATTTTAGTATATACATTACAGAATTATCTTCAATTGTTGGAATTTAAAATATTTAAAAACCTGTTATAATCGAACATATATATTTATTTACTTGGATTAAGAAATATTGAACTATGCATTGTTACCTATCTAACATAGATTTATAAGTTGTGTATCACTTGCAAATGAATTAATAATGTTACTTACCCGTTTTTTTCTTTCATGTGTACAGTCAATTCTCCGAACCCAAATTTCTTCAGTTGAATCATAATCGAGAGTACTCGAACTACTCGCTTCACTTTTCATTTCAACAAGACTTGAGTCAAAAAATCTTTTATCAAAATGAGGACTTGGAAATGGACTTATTTTTAAAAATGTCATACTATTAGAATATGAAGGAAGATCTGTTTCAGGAAAAATCATACCAGGCCCGGTAGTATTTCTTCTATATAAAGGTGGCTTGATTGATGTCGGCGATGTCACAGTGTGTGTCATAAATCGGTTTAACGATGTACATGGTGATCGTAAATCTAATACAGTAGAATTTTTATTTGATTTCTGATCTATTCGTTCTAAACTTGACTTTTCAAACAATGTAGAACTAGCTATGTTTGATAAATATATTTCACTTTTCTCTTCGTAATCTTGATTTTCTATTTGTTGACTTTTACTTTCAGTTTCAGTATAAATCTCGTTATCAGTACCTTTTCCTAAAAATAAAAAAAATTGCTTATAATAAATCAATTTGAGACGCAATATAATTCAAAATTAAATTTTGATCTATAAGTAATTATTATACCTTCTTCTGTCTCGTATTCATCTTCTTCTCGACATTCTGATAACCGTCTACACCACGGATATGGACTATGAGCTTGATTTCTTGAAGGTAAGCGATTGACGTGAGATAGAAAATAATGATGAAAAAAACTATCTACACCCTCTGAATCTTCTCCCGATGATTGTAGCATATCTTTTAGCGCAGCAAGAGAAGTAATTGTATTATAATTAATTGCAGATACTAAATCATCTTCAATATCACTTTCATCAGTTGTTTCATCATTCTGATTTTCTTCAAATTGATCTACATTAATTATTTGTGTCATACAAGATTTATTAGATTCTGAATTAAACTTCTCAATCATTAATTGCGAATTTATTTTTGATTCGTTTTTTAAACTATTATTTAATGAAAAAATATTTTGATTATCTTTTTCTTTTTTTGTATCGTATTGATTTTTATTTTCTTTGTAAATTGCTTCATCAAATCCTTCATTTTTAAATTGTGACATACTTTTGTCATTTTTTTGTTCAGCAACTATTGTAGATCTATGCTGTTCTGTTATCTTTAAATCATCTGATGATTCAAATACTTCTTGTTTTTCTTTTGATTCTCCACTTACAAATTTAATATTCTTTCTATTTTGTGTCGTTTTTTTTTCATTGATTTTTATATTAATATCTTTTATCTTAGTCTCCATGTATGATTATTCTTGAAAATTATAAAATATTTTAACAATTTTTATATCTATTTATATGTGTAAATATAATATTTCAATTCTTATGCAAAATAATTAAAGTAATGCAAGTAGTGCACATTAAGAAAAAAAAATTAATTTGTATTAAGTACTTTTAACACAGTAGAATTAACAAATATGCATTACTCAACCAAAATATAGATAATAATACTTGGTTACATATATCATTCTAATTAATTTTCATAATATAATTTACTGCTACCTTCATTAGAGATTCTGATAGCTCTATTATTATTACACGAATACAATAATTAGATTACAATAAGAATACAGAAAAAGAAACCTCAATATGGTATTAAAATTTTAAATACACGTTCATCTGCTTACTATTAATTGACTCATACATTTATTTAAACATTTTATTAAATAACTAATTCTTTAAAGTATTTTTACAACCTACTTAATAAAATTACCTAATTATCAATTACAATTTCTATTAAAATTACAATACAAAATAAAATTCAAAGGATATAAATCTTATTGAAAGCTTATATATCAGCATACTTTTTATATTTAGTCTTGGGACTAAAATAAGAAATATAATATTATAAATTTTACTTAAAAATCGAGAATTTTTATCTATTGTATAAACATTATAATATAAATATTGCTATTTTTTAATGGAAACAATTTATTATATATAATTATCTTTAATAATACAATACAATACACATAAACCATGTAGGAGTTGAAAATTATAAAAATATTTTAGACTCTTTAATTTATAACTACAAAATCTAATAATTATGTTAGCAAAATTTTATATTTTGAGATATGATTAACTGCATATTTTCACTTAATGCAAGTGCTCAAATCATATATAACAACTTTAACTATATGAACGGTACACAATTATTGATAATGTGAAAATGTTTAATTTTATATTAATTATTTTTTATTCTAATTAAATAAAATTTTTTAATGAAATATGAATCTTGCATTCATCAGCAATTATCTTTATTGCTCTTACTTTACCTAGGCTAGATAATATCTGCATAAATTAAAACCTTTATTAAAATTATTCTATATAAGATTAAGATATTAAAATAAATTAAATTTTTAGTATATTTAAAAAATAATTAAAATAATTAAAAATAATAATTAAAAGAAATAAAAAAAAACTAAAAATAATATCTTTATTTGAAATTAAATTTAATAAAATCTAGTTATGAGAAGTTTTATATACTCACATGAAAAATATCAATAAATGAAGATTTTTTTATAAATTTAGGTTACTAAAAGCATAAAAATGAATCAGCATGAGTATTTAGTAAATTTGAAGTAGGCATTAAAAATTAAAAATTTATATATATATATATATATATATATATATAAACTTTACATTTATATTCCAAAAACTGTTTTATAAATGTTTAAAACAAGCAGAAGCTAAATAGATTGTAGTCATTAATATATTCATTTAGGACAAATTAATTGTTTTCTAATTTAGATATCATTTTAAATTACATTAAATTTTCTGCTTTATTTTTTTATTAGTAACTACAATTTAATTTTTTTATTTTCTTACTTCAATATTCACTGAAATTCGTAACTTAAGGTTCTTCATTTAAAGGACATTCCATATAAACTCTAAATCGTCTGCTATACTGACATTACTCAAAGTCTTCTTCCTGATTAACAATTAGTGAGGTCACTTTTAGTTTAGTTTTGTCTTTTTGTTGATTGCTCGTAATTTTCTTACTCGATCTGTCCAATCACCGTACCTTTTACTATGTCGATCCAGAAAACTAATCTACTTAAGTATTGCTAATTTTGTTCCCTTTAATATAAATATATATATACTTATGCAGTTGTACAGCTTTACATATGCAACACACGTCATACGATGTAATGATAAATATAAATATAAATATAAATATCATATTAATGCCAATGCGCAGATTAATATTCGCAATTATATTAGCAAAAACGCGGTAGAAAATTACGAAAAATTATTACTTATAATGCAGTTTGTCACTCATAATTAGTGGTATACTTATATATTATAATTCAATTATTATCAATTTTATAGGATGTCAATGTATTCAAATTATAAAATTGTATATGATTGTAATACATAACCTAAAATTATATTTTTATTTTACAACAGTCCAGTAGATGATAATAGATATAAATTTCTTTAATATAAGTTTTTAAGCTAGAAGCTTTTTATTAACATTAACAATAATACATTTTTATTTCTTTTCAAAAATAATTGTTTTTTTTTAATAGTAATATATGTATGAAAATTAACTTAAGAAGTTTATCATCTTAGCACAGTTCAAGCATTTTATTTAATTTTATCAAAATCATAATTTAACAACTACATTATATTTATTTAGTAAATTTATTTTCAAATATTAAGTATATTGGTCTTGAATTTATACCTTGATAACTATTTAAATAATATTTAATAGTATTTAATTTCATAGTAGATAAATATACTTGAAAAAATATCTTCTTCATGTTTTAATTTATTACATTTTATTAAAATATTTTTTATAGAATTTCTTAATATTTATCTTTTATTTATTTTCATAATTCGTTAAATTAAAATAATATAAATATTTTATAATTATAAAATATTAAAAATTATGATAGTTATAAAACAAAAAGTATATTTTAGAAATTTTTATATATTATACAAAATTATATTTGTTTATAAACATTAAAAAAATTTTAAATTAAGTTTAGAAGATGGAATGATACAAATCTCTCACTTAATATTGTCTAAATTTTTAATTATGAAAGAAAAATTTAATAAACAAATGAATAAACAAAACTAATAAAAAATAACAAATACATCAAATTAATTACAAAAAATAAGTTTAATTATACTAATTTGATATTAATTGCATTAAGATTTAGTTCTCTGTGGTAATATTAACTGTATCCATATGGTTTGAACTTTGTAAATTTAATAAAAAGTTTAAGTATAATACTTCAATTGTAAAAAGAATGTTGAAAACCCTTGTGATATTATTACGAGAATAATATTGTAATGCATCAACTGAAAAAATTATTTTAATTGGTAGCTATATTAGGTTAGATTCTATCAAAACTAAAATATAGAATTCACTAATTTTATTTATTATGAAATATGAAATAAATGTATCTAAATTGATTTGAAAATCAAATTTATTGGGTTCATTGTTTTAATTCAATAATTAGAAGGTGTGCAAATCCATCTAATTTAGTGAATAAACATAAATAAAATTATATTTAGATTACATTAATGTATTCAAATATTTAATTTTTATAATTTACACTTTTATTTAATGTGAGCATGTACCATTCAGATTTTTATGTTTACATTAATTAAAATATTATCTGGCCTTGTAATTAAATTTAAATGTAGATATTTATTGTTAGAATTAACAAAATATTTATTTAATATTGCAAGCAAAATATACAATAAAAATCAATAGAAAATTATTATTCTCATTTAGTATGTTACATTATTTATTATAATTTAAAAATTTTAAATGGCTATACAAATAAAAATTATAATCAATTTCATTAAAAAATCTATTCGCAATAAACTTATGATTTATTTAATTATTAATATTTATATAAAGGAACGAAATAATTTATTCTCTTGAATCACAGAAAATTAATTTTCCTTAATAATTAACAGATCTCATGAATTATCATGTATATTACCTAATACAAAGTATTAGTAATAAGTTCCCCAAATTTATAAATGCTACTAACATTATCAACAGACCATTAGTAGAGGAAAGTAGATCAATAAATTGATTTAAATAGATTCCATGGATATAAAGGTTTACTAAAACACTAATAGCAATAAGTCATTTAAAATAATATATAATTCAATAAAGTTAAGATGAAATTAAAAGAATAAAGTTATAAGAGCATTTTTAAAAATATTTTACAATAGTCAATAAGCATACATATTGTTTTAATATTATTTTCATCAATAAAATTTTATATTTTTAGAAAATCTAGAAAATGTTTATAAAATTTTTTTGTTTCAATTAATTTTTTTAATTAAAAAATATATGATAAGATTATGGCATATATTAAAAATATTTGTATTGTATATGTAAATTTTGTTGACTAAAGGTCTTAACTATAAATTATATATGAAAAAAATTAAGAAATAAATTAATTTTGCTATTTCAATGGCAAATTTAGTAAAAAAACATAAAATAATGTGCCTTAAATATTATGTTAAATTGATCTTATTTATAGCTAAAAGAAATTTTTTTATTTTATTCAGAAATAAACTTTAAACAATTATATAAATAACAAATTTGTTATTACAATATTTTCTCTAGTATCATACAAATTAATGCAAAGATAATTGGTACAACATAGTATATAGGCACCATATAAGTAGTATTTATGAAATCTTTACATTGAGTTTTAAGATTTATATACTTTCTAACTATATTAGCTTTTTCATCAATAGTTGCATTATATTTTTCTTTAAGTATTACTAATTGTTCACTTAACTCTTGTACTTGTAGATTATCATTTATAACTTGATACTTTTTTAACTTATCAAAGATTATAATATTGGGTTCATAAGTAAGCCAGTTTTTTAAATCTTGTAACTCTTGTAGAATAATATAATTTACATTATCATTACTTACTTTTAAAGAATTTGATAAATGCATTATATTTTGTACTATAAAATCTTGAGAATTTTTACTAACTATTAAATTGTTTACAATTAATGGTTTCAAAATATTAGTTGTAAAACTGTCAAGTAAAAGAACTTGTTGAAGTGTTAATTTTGTTTGTTTTGGCAATAATTTATTTTTTATTTCAATAATAGTATTTTTTTTTTGTGTTACTTGAATAATTTGTTTTGACAATTCATTATCAAATGTATTATAGAAATCAAGACAATTGATATCCAAATCACAATTACTTTTAAAATCTTTATGACCAAAATTATCTTTTTTAATAGCAAATTTCAATATTAATTGAATAGAAGCAATATTATCATTCTCATTATCACTAATATTCTCATCAATGTTAGATATTAAAGCATTTTCATATAATTTTTTAATTTCAATCGTATTGTCATAATCCAAAATAAGAGAATTGTCAATATCTGATAAACTAGATTTAGATTTAGATCCATCTATTAAATCCTTTGAGTCTAAAATAGTCTTTGATTTTAATAAAGTATTACTAGATGCAAGTGGTAATATAAATTTGCAATTATTATATTCCAATGTAGTAGTCGTGGAATGACAGCTCCTTGTTAAATTATCATTAATACAGAACGCTTTACTGAATTTTGAATAATTGTCAATAGAATTAAGTTGATTTCCTTGTTCAAAGTTATCAACTAAAATTTCATAATTCACAGCATCTAAAAAGAGATATTTCCATTTGCTTAAAATATTATCAATAATATTAGCAGGGTTTAAAAAATCTTTTTCTAGATACATGCTATTTTCATTTTTTATGTTCTGTACAATTTGCATGTAATTTCTTAATGCAGTTATCTGTTTTTGAATATTAATTTTATTTGATATTAATTCTTTTATATTGAATTTTAAGTTCCTTTCAATATTTTTTTGATCTTCAAGTGATTTAAAAAATTCTTGCTTATCCTTTTCTGCTTGTTGTAATACTTCTTTTAATTCATGCTTGGTATTATTTAATTTATCAGTTGTATCTTGTAAAGTTTGTTTAACCTTCATATATTTAATTGTAAGTTCTTGTAATTCATTCTGATTATCTTTAATTATATTATGTAAAATTTGCATTTCATCTTCAGTCTCACTTAATCGACATTTTAATATTTGTACTTTTCCGATACTTTTACTTATTTCTTGTACTTTTTTTTGCAATAATTCTTTAGTAGCATTTTGGTATAAAGCTTTGTCTTCCAATAAATTTACTAATTCGATTCTTAATTTATCCTCTCCAAAATTTTTAGAATATGCTATCACTTGACTCTCAAGTATCTCTAAGCGAGACAATAGACAATCTTCCAATACTAATGCCTTCCATGATTGAAGAGCAGCAATTTTTGTTTGTTCTAATAATATTTGCATGTATTCAAGCTTAATTCTTAATGCACTTTCTCTACGCCCAGCTTCTTGTATAAACTGATTTAATTTATATAAATCTTCGAAAGTAATATTTATGTAAGAATCAGAATTTGAATGATTTTCTTTTGCTTCTTTACCACTTGCTAAATAAAGTTTTAAGGTTGCTACTATACATCCATGCGTGACTTTTGCTTTTGGATTATTTTCAACCACATCTACACCAAATTGTACAACATCACCAGAATACACATCGTGTGTTGCTGATTCTTCTCCAGATGGACTGAGACGCCTATTATTAATGAAAGTGCCATTACTGCTCTTGGTATCTTTTAAATAAAATTTACCAGAGTCATACCATATAATTGCATGATTTCTAGACAAAACTTTACAATCAAATATTGCATTATTAGTAGCAGCTCTAGCTCTAGCAACTGAACGTCCAATTTTAATAGGTTTTTCAAAAAATAAATTTCTTTCTTTAAATGGATAAGAATTACTGTGACAAATCAAACTTCCTCTTGCATACATTTTCTTTCGTGGTTAAAATCCGAGGCATATTGCATCCAGCAATCAATAGTTATAACCATAGCAATAAATATTAATGTTTACTATTAAAAAATTAGATTGAAAATATTTAATAATTATTAATAATATAGAAAATAATATACAGAATATGTTAAATATACTAAATATAATCGCGTTTTTATATATATTCTTATTTATTTTTTCGTTATAAAGATTTTATCTAATATAGGAAAATATAATCTAAAAAGTATATATGCTTTTTACGGAGTTAGATAAATAATCTGATAATCAAAAATTACACTATAGTAGTAATGTGAGGCTGGATAGTTTTGTTGATTCTGCGTAATAACTTTATGCTGATTGATTGTCATATAGGCGCTATTTTTAAATTTTTTTTACAGGATTTAGAACAATTATCATAGAATTAAAATTAAACTTTTTTTATCTGAATTCTATAATATATTACATAATGATTTAACTAAGTGTTATATTTATTATATGAAATATTATTTTCATTATTTTAATTCTGTTAATTATCTATAATAGACAAAAATGTATCAATTTCACGATTTAATTATGAATTTTAAAACACGTGTAATAAATGTTTAAAAGATATTATTTTTTTAATTGCGTATATATACATTTATATTACTATGATCAAAATTAAAAATATGTTTATGAAGAATTTTCGCCGATAAAAACATAATTTATGGAAATTCTTTAAACAAGTGTCAGTTTTTAAAAAAACCACGTCGAGCTTTTTACATTTACCCTTACAAGTTCTACAGATTTTGTAAGTAATAATGAAATTAACAAGTTCTACAAATTAATGAAATTAATAATCAGCTTGTAAAGGGGTCTATTTTCTTAAATCTATTACAACTGAAGTCTTTTTTCAATCATGAATATCCGTGTAAACGAAAGCACCTATTTATGTTTTTCTATTTTTATACACGTGTTCATTTGGTTACTTGCTTAAAAATTGAATGTGTTGTTAACATGTTATTTAATCTATGCTCATAAAGGCTGTATGTATATAATATTATTTACTATGTAAATAGCACACAAATTTACAATCCTACACGGATTATACTTTTTTAGGCGGCACGTAATTAAAAAAATTTAATGGTAAAAAAAAAATTTCTTCATATTTGATATTTCTATTAAGCCTCTCAATATTATATCTCTGAACAATTACATATTTTCAGATTTTCAGTGCTTGATGCTTATTTTTATCAGATTTCTTACTATTTCCTTTCTAGCAATAATCAATTTACATGAAAATCTTATTATTAATATTACCAATATATCGCTCAGTATAAAAAATATAACATGGGATAACACATTCACTTCTCTAAATTTCTACGCAAATTATATTAATAACTGTAAATACATTTTGGACATTTAAAATTTTAAAAATTGTGAAATTCATTGTTGACATGGAATATTTTCATTATTAAAAATTATCAGAAAAGGTATTTGAATCTTTCTGCAACAATTTATACTTAATATTATCAAGTGTGCTTGAAAGTGTGATTTAAAAGTAATTTTGCAATTGTGACAGATACTATTTTCACATGTTTTAGTATTGAGACACTATTTACTTACTCTTCCTCAAAAGCTTATCAAGAATTATTACTTGCAAACAAACTCTACATAAATAAACTGAAAAGATTGTCTTTTAATGTATTTTTTATAAATTTATTATACGTAAAACCAAATTGTTACCTTTCAAAGTTTTTTATGAATTTAGATATTTGGAATCATGGAAAATTATATTAGAGTTCTTATTAATTAGAATCTGCAGTTATAAAAATTGATATGTAAAAAAAAAACAATTATGTTCCAGTTCTGTAGAATTCTTCTTGTAAACGTGTTATTTAAATAAAATAAAAGATAACAGTCAAGTAACAGAAATTTTAATTTAATTAATTAAATTATTAAATTATTTGTATTATCGAAAATCGGTTGAAAATGTTAAACATTTAATTTTTTAAAAACAATATGTCAGAATATTAATAAATAGCAGTTACAAATAAATAAATATGTTTTAAAAAATTGTAATAAATATTTGTAGTAGAACAATTTTTTATTTTATTATAGAAAATGCAGAATTGTAAATAATTCAAATTTATTTTACTGAATGACTATAAACTCAATTTTTAAATTCCTGAAGGTCAACAAAATAATTAAATATTAATTTATTGATAGATAGAAAATATCGTAGATAACATTGTTTAAAGCCATGTTCTTACAATGAAAATCAATTAAGATCTTAGATCAAAAGTCATTGTAATAATTCATTGTAAAATATTCTTTAATCACAAACTAAGTAACTGACATAACTGCTTTCATTCGTTGAAACTAAGTAAAGTAAACAAGTCATCACCACTGTCATTTCGCAAGTTTAGAATACTAAATATTTGCACTATATTGTAATTAGTATGAAACATTTAAATTACAATAATTATTAAAAATGATTATTAAATATTTATTGCAATCAAATAAATTTTAAGTCAGCTGAATAAAATTCATAAAAAAGAAAAAATTTGATTATTAATCAATTTATTTTAGAAATTAGAATGCTATCAAAACTAACAATATCTAAAGCTTTAAGAAATAAATAATAAATCCATGTATAGTTATGAAATAGTGTACATTTTAATTGATAAATAAATACAGAAATACTCTTGTATTTTATTTATTTAAGTGCTACATACATAATCATTTAAAATTAATGATAGCAAAATATAAATTATCTGAATGATGATATCAGAACAAAGGAAAAAACTGAATAATTTTTTTCATATTTTTTTAATAAGAATAAATAATTATTATAATGTAATCAAATGTACAAAAAATAGTGACTTGTATATTCGTATAAATTAAAAAATTAAATAATATTAATTAAATTACTATTGGTTGTCGCTGCTAGAAAATATTGATATAGATGCAGAATAGAATAGACATAAAATCATGAAATTTACGCGATAACAGAGCAGTATAGAAATAACCACAGAAAATCATGATTAATACATTTTATTGAAAAATAGTCGTTATTTATTCAAAATATTTACTAAAAGTATATATGAAGAATTATAATACGTTCAGTTTCTTCCTTGATACATTTTTTATGTTGGGCTTATCTTTCTTTTTCTATTCAAATTATTTACGTTTCATAAAAATTATGATTAAGTAATTGATTAGAAAAAAATGATTATTTTATATTTATTTTATTGATTATATACTATTGCTTTTTAATATTTGAAGAATGATTTACAATTGTAGTTTAGCTTATTAGTACATTTTACCATTAAAATTTACCTTATCGTTTTAAAATGTCTGTAAGTACCCTATATGGGTTCAAAATCGCTAAAATTAATAATGAAAATAAGTTTATACAAAATTAATTTTATTTATTTGTTATAATTAGATGTAAGATTTAATAATTATTTAACACTTAAACGCATGGACTTTTATATATTTGAGAACTGAAATATAGAATAATTTTACATTAAATTCAAATCTCTTTCTTTAACTTCATTTTTTGCATAAGAAACAAGTATTAAATTTTAGAGAAAATGAAGGCAGTGCCATAATTTTAATTGTAATTTAATCTTACCACTTTGCTGAGTGCATAAGTCGATATACTGCTTGATAAAAATATTTTAATCATTTCTAACATTATTACTTACTTTTTTTTATTATTTAAAAAATATGATAAAACATGTAATAAATACTCTAAATTTCATTCTGGAATTTGAATATTTTTATACTAAAAATAATTAATTATACAACTATAATTAACAAATAAATTGATCGATGAAATTTACTTAAAAATTATTCATTGTTCTATTTAATAATCATATTAACATTTATATAATATAGAAATAACTATTGAGATACTTCATTTAGAATTAAAGGCATAACAAACAATAGTGGTAACTATATGTAAAATTGATGAATTATATGTATTTATTTGATTGTTTTTAGTAATTATAAAAAATTTCATTATAAGTAATTGAGTAATTACTTTTGTATTCACCAAAATGAAAATAGTGATATTTAAGAATATATCACAGGATCCCTATATTATCTTAATCTATAATTTGATACAAATAATAATTTATATTTATTACTTGGCTGTTCTGACTAATTAGAATTAAATTATTTTCTATTTTTAATTTTGTTTTAATTTAATTTTAAAATAACAAATTAAAATATGAATGTGAAAAATACCAAAATATTATAAATTTTTACTGCAGACCTACTTATATTGATTCTTTGATCCACATAATCTAGCTTTTCGAAAAATGTTATATTTGTTTATTTTCATTGCTCAGTTCTTGTTGGTAATTAATCAAATAATTGTTAAAATATAAGTTTCAATATTTTATTGAATAATAGATAAATATAGGAAAAATTATTACCAATTCATCATATGAATAATTGTTCATACCTTTAAGTACATTACAAGCAAAATTTTGAGGATAATTTTTTATTGGTTTGATATATTTTTAAACATATAAAAATATTTTAAGCAAAAACAATAAATTCTGTCGTTACATAAATAAATTTATACAACAATTTCTACTAATTTAACGACGATACAGAAATGAATAGTTTATTGTAGTTGAGAATAGTGTATCAATAATCCAATCTTAGTTATAAAATAAAATCATTTTATGTTATCAATGAAACTGTACATCTTTACATTTAATTTAATAAGTAGAAAAAGTTGGAAGTACATTTTAAAAATGTTTGACAATTAATGATGATTACAGGACTCAAAGGCAATCATTCCTTGCATTCAATTTTCATTTATAAGATATTGGTATATAAACATCTTTAATGAAAATTTTCGTAAATATAAATAAAATTATGCTTCATAATGGTAATCTTACAGCTCATCGTGTTCCTATAATAAAATATAATTATTAGTGTAGTAAACACTATGATTAAAAATAGAAAAATTGCAATTTTTTTATACAAACAAATGTGATCATCTGATGCGCTGGTTTATAATATATAGATTCAATCAAAATATCAAATTTCGTATTTATTTTTAAATTAACTGTGAGCGGAATGCATAACTGCAGTTATGTTAAAAAATAAATATGTAACATTAATCATGAAATAAATTAATATTTATTATGAATTACGTATATCACAGTACATTTAGTAAATTGAGATGAATGAGGTCATAATGAAATACAGCATATGCATTCATAATTTCGGCTATTTTAGAAATATAAATTCGAATGGTAATAAAAATTATAAAAATTAAAAAAATTATAAAAATAAATACAGTGGGATTAATATAAGAAAAATGCTGTCAAATTGAAAAAATATCAACTAATAGCAGAAAGGTGTTATTTTTAATGAAGAAAAATTAAAAAAAAACATGTGCAACAATGACTTTTTATAAAAATAATTAAAAATTCGTAATTAAAAAATAGTTGATTGATCTTCATTAATTAATGTTATTAATCAAGTTACATAAGCATTAACTATACTATACCTATACACTATACACTGATTAATTCTTAAATAAAACGAAATACTTCTTTTATTTTGGACAAATAGATCAATGATAAATTTAGTTTTCTAATTAAAGGGTATATGTTAACATATATAAAAACTTCTTATTATTAAATATATTTATAACTTATAAATCCTGCGAATGAGATGATGCCATTACTAACATTCGTTTTTATTTATAAAAATAAGTCCATTATAAATTATGCAAAAGAAAAACTTGTAATAACTTTATATATACATGTTCATTAAACTTAATAATTTAAAAAATATAGAAACATCTATATACCTCTACTTCTGGAATTACATTATTTTGTACCTCCTCATCTTCATCTTCATCTTCATCAATAGCTTCTTTATCTTCTATACTTTCTTTGGCTTCTTGTTCTCTTTGCTTCTTTTCCTTTTCATCTTGACTTTCTTTCATTTTCTTCTCTCCTTCCTATTTGTATATATTTGTATAAATTATCAATTTTTAAATGTTATAAGACATTTAAATATATTAAAAGCTAAAAATTCATGTAAATATTCGGACATTGCAATGTATAAAACAGGGATAAATAAGTAGAAGTATGCATTATAAAGATAAGATGTTGAGAGAGAGAGAGAGAGAGGGAGAGAGAGATTATTTACACTATAACCACTACATCAATATTATATTCTATAAGTATATTAGTAACAAGGGCAAGATTTGCTCAAATTGAGTTAAAAACTAAATCACTTGATAAAAAATATTACATTTCAAACAATTTGATTTACCAATGTAGATTAAAATCGAATAATGTAAACTTACTAGAATATTCTAGTATAAATTCCAAATTATCATTATGACACACACATATCATTTCAAGAACTAATCGAACTAAATTTTACATATTTTTTTTCCTTCATTTTACCACGTTTATTATAGTTAATACAGCTTCATCAATAACGAAATAGCTGTTTCATTACAACTTCTTACTTCATTCAAACTACTTAATTGAATATTGGAATTGATAAATAATTTTTTGTATGAAGTTAACAAATACTTTAAAACAATAGCTTTCTACATCTTCAAACATTTATCAATAAATAAATTTCGCTTAAAATTATGTCACAAACTTTATTAATAGAGGAAAGAACTACTAATTACATTATTCAATTTTTAGTTATTTTCATATTATTATTATGGCTTAATAGTTAAGCTATTTATATCTAAACTACATATGTATAAGAAATTTAAATAACATAAATAAGAAATAATAATCCTTACAATAGTAGGTTTCCAAACATTTTCTGCGAATCGTTGAGCATAATCAGGATCATCTGTTAGAAGAATGTTATCAAAAATTGTGCCTGATTTAACTTGCCATAAATCAAATCCAACGGCGCATATTTCTTTTCTTTTATATAAATCTGGATCGGGAATATATTCAGGATTATCAATTTCTGGATGTATCCAAGGCCCTTCATATTTTGGATTATCTATTTGTTTCGGTTTCCATTCTCCCTAAAAATAATTTATGAAAAATAATATTTAATAATTACTATGATATTTAATATTTTTACCTTAAATTCTGGATTATCAATCATAGGAGCTTCCCATTCGCCATCCATCTCATCATCCCAGTCTTCTGGTTTTGTAGCATCGGGATCCGATATATGTTCTGGCTTGTCCCAATCATCAGGTTTCTTATCATCTGGATCTTGAATTGTAGGTCTATCATCCCAATTTGTGGGCTTTGACTGGGAAGGATCTTTAATTTTTTTTGGTGGCAGAAAATCCCAATCTGTTTCAAGTGAACCAGATTCTACTTTTTCATTATCAATAAGAACCTAATCATTTATTTACAAAAATATTATTAAACTAATATATCTTCATAACTAAAATTTCTAATAAATACATTATACAGTAAGAAACAAGATTTTTATGAGCTTACTTTGTATTATAAAATTTATGTCAAGTATCTAAATTTGAAGAAAGTGAACGTTTATTAAGTACAGACAAGACATAATGCATTTAATACAAAGTTTTTAATGAATTAAAAAAATTATCTTTACCTCATATGTATTATCTGGTTTAATGATGAGTGTATATAAATGAGTGTACACATCATCTTTACAACGTATATCCTTATTAATCAGAAGATTTCTATTTTTATAATTAAAAATTACATGTACTTTTTTTGTTCCAGGTCCACAAATGTCAGGTCCTAAAACAGAGTGATTTTATAATTTTCTATATATTTCAAAACAAAATTTAAGTATTATAAGTTATATTTTTGTTTACTATAATTTAATAATAATAATTTAATATAATACTAATAATAGACAAACAAAACATTAATAAGTCCATATTATTAAAAATACAGTATCTTAAAACTATGATACAGTGTTTGTTATATAAACAATATGGATGACATTAACAGACCGATTATATACAAAGAGCTTAGAATTTCTTGTTTAAATTCATTTAATCAATAAGTGATAAAACTCAAAGACAACTATATTAATTATAGTTACTCTGACGATTTTAGTGAAGTCAAAATTAAATGTTATTTTATTCCAAATAAAGTATCTAAAATTGTTTTCTCTTTAAACATCGTTAAGACTTTTATAATTTTATAATTTTTTATAATTATAAGTAATTCAAAGTCAATGTTGATAATTTTCTAAAATTTTATTGATTTCTGTCAAAACTAATTCATAGATTAATACAAAAAAAAAAAACTAAAAAAATCCAGAATTTCACTTAAGATTAATAATGAATTCATAACAACTACATAACTGGTTTTTTATTATAACTAGAAAACGCTCTAAACAGAAAAGTAGTAATAAAATATAGTTTGTTAAAAATGTTGGCCCAGATTTATTAATAAGATGATAAAGAATTTACTATTTAAAATTTTAATTGAGCACAATATATTAATTATTATATTTCATAATAATCATGGCACATTGTGTACCATTTTAATTTGTTTTATTACGTAATTATTAGACAGTGTTATAGAGAGTATTGAAATAAATAATTCATCTAATTTTTATATGGTTGATCAATCTCTCTATTGCAATTTATCTGGCTGTATAATTTGATATAATCAAATATAAATAATATAATCCCATTCTGCTGCAAACTGGTAGACCATATTAATATTATGTTGCAGCTTTAGTTCTTTGATAGTTTTAATAAATTTACAGATGAGTCAGTTTTTACTTTTTTGTATAATCAAACAATTATATAAATTTTTATAGTATAATTAAACAAATTAGAAGATAAATATAATGAAAATAACATGTACTTTTCATTTTTGTTTTTAAAATATATTTTTTAGCAAGCTTTTTTTAGTGGTATTTCGTTACATACTGAATACTTAAGGAAAGACTTATAATACTTGAGTCGTCGAATTTAGAATATACATAATTTTCATTGCATTATATATAAATTACAAGAATAAGGCGTTTGATATTTACTGTATCTTCAAAAATAGTAGATATATTAATTGTATTATCAAACCTACCGCGCAATTTAATATACTGATTCTTATAATTCAAATGTAAAAGTTTTACTGTATTAATAAGTGTTATAACTTAAAATATGTGCTGTTTTGAAAGAAAGTTTAAATACGATCTTATAAATATCTTCATGATAATAAAGAGTAATATTTCTGTTAATACAATATATATATTATTTTAAAATATTTTATTTGTAGTATATTATTAATCTAATATATAATTAAAAATAAATTTATACATATTTATAAATTTTACCAAACATAATAAGATATGGACTGTCTCCATGCATGTCATTCTGTTCTAACGAACAATCAAACACTTTGATATATCCTCCTCCACAATCGATATTTTGTTCATGTTTTACACTAAATTGTAAAACGAGCGACTTTTCTTCGTTGGTAAATGGAGCGAATTTTCGACTTGCAGCATAAAACCTTGCATCTTGAGAAGTTTGTATTCCTAAAAAAATTATATTTAATAATCTACAATTTTCAATTCAAATAGGAACCGTATTTTTAAAAACATGTATATACTACATAACAAAATTTTAATAAATAAATTTTAGAAACAATTCTAATGTTATAGATAAAATATTTTAATTTACTGCTGAGTAAATAATGGTGTTATTTTTCCAAAATTCTCTTCTTAGTAAAGGAAGATGTATATTATTATTTACTCTTATAATTAACTAATTAAATAAGTAAACTATAATTTACTCTTATATTAAAAAAACATAGTTATTACTTAAAAAAACTTGAACGATAATACATTTTAATAAAGTAAAAATGCGGAATCAAAATTTTACTCGAAAAGTATATTTACTTAACGATTTCAAATATTCTAGTATATTTTTTTCTTTTTGTTGAGATTATTTAAGATTGTTTTCTATATTCAGCTTACATAATTGTAAATGTTTAGAAGTTCCTAACACTAAAACTTGTAAAAATAGCTTCAATATTGAATCGAATAAGCAAGAAGTCTTAAAAAATAGCATGAGTCCTTGAAATATTAATGAAAAGGGACCAATGTATTTACAAAATCATTATATTAAAAAAATACTATAATTTTTCTATGAAATAAAAGTAAAAAACAATGGTTTAATGTTTATTATTAAAAGAACACTGTAAACCTCAAATTAAATAATTTTCTATTTTGATTAATTGCCTTTTAGTTCTACAGTTTTCCACGTAATTGAATAAATTTATCAATTTTTAATAGCACTTAATTTATTAATGACATTTAGATTCATTACTGAAAAAAATTACTAAAAAATTCATGTAAGAATCAAAATATTTGAAATAAATGCATATTATATTGCTTATACTTTTAATAAACTACTTTTTATATAAAAAAAAAAATAGAATTAGCTACAACAAATCAATTATACACAATTCATTAGTTTTCAAAATGCATTTATTTCTTATCCATATTTTAATTTTGTCATAATTATTACAAATTATATATATATATATATATAATTAACCATTTAATAATTAACAATTTGGAACTTTAATTTTAAAACTTTTTATCCGTATCAATTCTATATATTGCATAATGAAAATTTTTTTCTATATAATATATATATATATAAAGAAAAATATTTATATAATTTTACTTGTTTACTAGTTTTTGTTATCGAATTTTTAAAAAACGAATAAATAAGAGAATACTCCCTCCTCTTCAAATACTAGTTGTTCTTAATGACATACTGTATTTTATTGGTATTTATCATCTTCATAACCGTACGAATACGTGCTACTCAAAGTATTTATATATAGTTATAATTATGATTTAGTATTTGTTTTATAACAATTTACAAAGCTCATGTTCTTCTATTAAAACAAGTTCCTACAAGTGACATATATACCCACATTGCATTACAACTACATAAAATAATCGAATAATCAGTTATATTCTATATATATATATATATATATATATATATATATATATATAAACAATCTTTTGTAATGAGAAATCATTGTAAACGATATATTCAAAACTATATATTCTTAAACAAACAATTTTTAACATTAAGAATTCTTATTCAAAATAGAAAAAAAGATCTAAAGTGTGCGGTTAAGATATTCTACAATAAATTTCTTTAAAAAATATTTGATTTTAAAATCATTTTGTAACTATCACTTTCTAAATTATAAATCCTGTAGATTAAAAAAAAAATTTAATATTGTTATATTATACAAATGTTTTCCGTTTTCTTTAATTTAAAAGGTAGTTAGTTTACAAATTCTAAATTAACTATTGATCTATCTGTAAATGCATTCAATTTTGAATACACATACAAGATGATTTATATAAGCAACATTCGGAATTAATTAATTTTAAATAGGAAGATATTCAAATATCATTTAAATAATTCTTAGATACAAATTGATATTTTAAATTGAAATATTAAAAAGTTATATTGATAGGTATTACGAAAACAATAAGTGTATCTAATTATTGTGGTGGACTTACACAATGTTAATTTTACATCTTATATAACATTTCTTCACTTATTCATTAGTACGATTGATTTTTACATAAAAGAGTCTTGCTATAAAAGATAGTGTTATAGAATTTTAACAGTGACTCAATACATTCATACAATATACTAATCAGAAAGCATAAGTAGTAGTAGTAATTAGTGTATTTAATACAACCAAAAACGGATGAAAAATTTATTTTATATTACAAAATTAATAATTATTCCAGTAAATCACACGTAGTACAACCATATTTTCAATTACTTTTCAGGCCTCCTTGCTACATTTCATTATATATATGAAGGCATTTAAATATTCAATATTCAAAATAGAATTATAAATTAGACTAAATGTTATAATTTTATTGAAATAGAATAACTACGTGAAATTTTAATATTAATTAATCTTCTTTAATAATTTAAATTATTGTGGCTGATTATTATTATACTAATGTAACATAAAACTACTTAAGTACTACTACTAATAGGTTTAAATATAAAAATAATTCAATTAGAATGTATTGACATGCTTGTAGTATCACTTCGTATATACTTTTTAATATATTATTGTACATTCTGTGCAAAAGGATAAAGGTACAAAAGAAGAAAAGATATGATTTAGTTGTAAGGAAAGGAGAAAGATTAACATAAATAAATATAAGGCATTGCATCCTACAATGCTATAAAACAGTAAAGTATATACAGTAATCTAGCAGTGTTCATTGAGACTATTAACTAATTATGTTATGTTCAACTTTACAGATATCTAAAGAAAAGCTTCAATATTGTTCTCAGTGTGGAAAGTTAACTGCTCTACTGTTGATAGATAACAATGTACAATTAATCTTGAGATGCCAGAGCTTCTCATAATGTTAGAACACTTGAATGTTATAATTATTTTTCTGTTTTTTCAATATGATTTTATTTATCGATATATAGTTCATTCTTAACAGTTAAGTTACTAAATTATTTACTTTTACTCACTTTAAATAAACATTAATTATTTGTAACTTACAGAAAGTATAACCAAAATAATTAATTAAATATCTTGGAAATTATTCCAAATAAGTATTACTATGAAGTAATTAAATTTCCATATATTGAATTAATCTATATGTACTATATTATGATAATTTCTCTTAGATAATTGTATTATTTTTTATCATTTTGGTATTAAGACTTTACTTATTAAAATATTTATCTAATTTTGTATTTACGAATTTTATATATATTAAACTATACAATTGTTATATTATAAGCAGCTGAGTACCAAAAAAATATTTTTCTTTGAAATAATATTGAAATCGTGGTTTAATATAATATCGTTGTACCCTTAACTGATATGTTAGATGTGATTTTCTAGATAACAGGCATAATGCAAATTAGTAAATAAACAAATTTTTAATTCTTAAACATTATATAAGACTCATATTAAATGCTTCTATAGATCCATCGTTTTTAATTTGTAGACGAATAAAAAGTTAGTACAGAATATTTAATGAATAAACTTCTTTTAAATAATGTAATCAATCTAATATTAAAAAAGCGAATATATTAATATAGTATGAAATTTGTATATTACGATTTTATTTATAATGTATATTATTTTATAATTGACTTGAAATACAAATTCTATATTGATGCATTTATTACCAGAATAACTATATATTAGTTTGAATTTAAATACTTGGTGAGTATTGGTACAAATAATCGTTACATTTTCTAAGCCGATAACATAATAGCGTAATGTAAGTATATACAATATGCTATAGAGAGAATCAGGCATTCAAATATATTTATTCCACCAAGTAAGCAGGTAACAAGATATGATAATATTGACATTTGGATTTTTTTTTTTTTTTTATAAGCTAACAACCAAACTATAAATAACATCAGTGGTCTGTTTTATAGAAATAGTTAGAAAATAAATAATTATATTTCTGAATTAAATTTTTGGTAACCTTTATCATTATCTGGATCATTCCAAAATTTTCCATAACTTAAAACAAATTTTCCAAATTCTTGTTCTGGATGTTCAGAATATATCCAATTCTTTTCCCATGTATCTGCAATACAATAGTATATGTTAATAAAAAAATAGCATATACAAATAATAGGCAATCAGTACATTTCTTTAAAATATATTCGTAATTAATTAAAAAAATTTTTTAATGTCATAAATATACCTAAAAATTGAAAAAATTATCTTTAAGCTTTAGTTTAAAAAATATTCATTAAAAAAGAAGATGAATATGGATAATAAAAATATTTTTTATACAGATTTGCTTAAATAATTTATACACAAAATTCTTCAATTTTTAAAAGAACTGAAAATTATTATTCATGTTATTTGAAAATTGCAATATCGATAAAAATATAAAAATTTCTAACAATATATTTAGTGTTTAAAATAATGGAGTTCTTATCATTAACTTATGATGTAAAAATTTGATCAGTTACATTAAATGATAGATTTATTTTTTTTTTTTACTATTCTAACTTAATTTAATTACTTTTTTGTATAGTTATACAATTTAATTCTAACTATACAATTGATTTAGTTTACTTTTGACTCGATTATTTAATCTAACATAATTACAACAATAACAGTAAAATATTGTGGTACTGCCATAACAATATCAAAATTTCTAATAAAATTACACACACACTGTGTTGAAAAATGTAATGTAAATTACAATGTTATTTATATACACAACATTTGTTAGATTGTGCTTATTACAATATAAAAGAATAGTTCAAAGCTATAATTAGAAATATGAATATTAATGATTATAATATTTAAATAAAAATTATATAAAATTATATACATAAAAAATACAAGAAAAAATATAAGTAAAAAATTAATTAAAATGTAAAACTGAGAACAATAATTATATGCAATCTAGTTTTCAACATAAATATAAAAAAATAATTAAACAATAAGTCAATAAAAAACATACAGCTGATGAAATATTGTATATGATTATATTATATTTCCACATGTAACTTATTCATTTAGGTGTCCAACATGCAAATCATTAATAACTTTATATTCACCAAAAAGAATGGCAATTGTAAATTCCAAAAGTATTGGGAGTTCCAAATATTAATTTCTTTAAATATTATTGTTAAAGAAGTTTTTGAACATTCTGTAATTTGACATACAAATTGCATCAATGTTAAAAGTTGTAGACAAACGATACAATTTTGAAACGCGTTTTAAAATATCGATCGTTTTAGAGATAGTTTATTATATTTGAATCTATCTGTCTTAGAAATGTTAACTCGTTAATGTCGATAAAAAGTTCTTTATCTTGAAACAGTTATGTTTACTTTGATAAGATTGTATTCCATTTAAACACAATAGAAAATTTAAATTATAAAGTTAAACAAAATTATATGGTATTTTGCTTTGGTATTAAATTTTAATCAAATTGTAAATAAGCAAATAAAAAAGTTTGTATTTCCAATGTAACGTAAACAATGCTTACTTTTTACAAAATTATATATAAATTCCAGTTTATTATAATTAATGTCTTAATATATTTTTTCTTTAAAAATGATCTATCATTTAATTAAAGTTTTAATTTATAATAATTACTAACATCATTTCAGAAATTTATATTCGAAAATATCTTACAATGAAAACATGTTATGTTAATAGTTTTTATTTCTTTTGTTAGTTTCTTATCTGTAGACAATTATTAAACGAAATCATATATTAATTCTTTAAAATTTTTCATTGTTGCTACGTAATATTTTAAGATTATTGTTCATTTTCTGCATTTCATTATCATACCAAGATACATAAGACAAAAAGAGCTGAAAACACCATTGGTTAAGCTATTGAATTTTTTTAATAAAGCAAAATTTTTCATAATGATGTCTTAGATACTATCTAATGAAATAGATCGATGTTTATAAATTCTTTTCTTTTTTATTAGTGTGTTTACATTTTATACAGTTCCAGAAATAATTCCTTTCTACAGGCTACATTTATTTTTTAAATAATCACTAAATTTTATAATTGGCTGCAAACAGTAATAGGATAAATTCTATTTTTTAAAAATATATTAAAATATATATTATCTATATTTAAGTATTAACACTTAGATTATATTGTAAATCAAAACATATAAAATAATTATTTTAATATATTCAGATTTCATCAACATATATTTTTACAATTATACAAAAATTGTTTACTTTGACTCAATACCAAATTTATAAATTTCTAAAAAAAAATCTCAGCTGTAACTATAGTTTTCTAAATTACATATTATAACAATATATTAACATTTTATATTCATTGTAAATTACTTTGAATTTATTATTAAGCAATCATATATATTTAATACACTCTGCACTTAATAATACAGATATATTGTAATGCATATTAAGTAAAAACCATAAAAAATATTATATTAATCAACACATGTATTATTAATAAAGCATATGAATGTTAGTAATATTGTTATTATAAAAACTTAAATTATATAAAATATTTTAAATAAATCAATAATTAAATGATGTTGAATGGAAGATATTTCATTGAATCTAATCTGAAATAACTGAAATAACTGAATAAATTGTAATATGAAATAACTGAAATTGTATTAATTATATTAACAAATCAAAATTTTAAGAAAATTTGATGTAATATGAGAATAAGGAAAAATTTAACTTGTTTTTATATAAAATTTAAAATTTTACTTTAAAAATATAGGGCCACTTAAAAAAATTTAACAAAATTGTGTTCTATAACTACAAACTAATAATGAAAAATAATTCAAACTTTAATATTAAATATTAATGCAATTATAATTATTAATATTAATAATCATTAATACTGGATATTTTAATAAATTTAAATAAAAAAATTATATTTTTGAAATTTCTTTCATAATTGATACTTGATTAAGTAGATTATTTATACTAAAATTAAAATTTGTTAATATATTAAGTGAGTCTTCATTTTTATTTCATAATTATATAATTTAAATAAAACTTTATAATCTGATATAAAAGATATTTTGAAATACAGATAAAATAGATAAATGCATTAGATATTTTAAATTTTTTATTTTCATTATATATACTATTATTAAATCAAATAATATTTTATGAAGTACTGTAATTATATACATTATTTAAGTAATAAATAATATTATTTTTTTTATATTTAATCGACTAATATTATTCTTTCTTAAAGCAATCTCATATTTACATTGTTTTTGGCCTAATATTTATATATTGACATGCACACAGAATTATAATTTAATATCAATTAATATATTATTTATTTAAATATCATTTAATTAAAAAAAACTTTATTTCCATTAACTACTAAATTTAATTCTACTTTTATTATAATTATGTAACTATTATATATTTTATATAATTGAATTAAATTTTCTTTCTTCTATTATTAAAATTTATAAATTTTATTTCATCATAATCTCTTATTCTTTATTTATATTACTTTAGTATTTATTTACACAAAAAGCCTGTTTATATAGTTTTTATATCTACATAAGAAAAAAAAATTAAAAAGATTGATTAACATATTAATATGCTTGGTGTGAAGATATTTTACTCGATTATGAATAATTTAAGTCATACACTGTCACAAAAATTCATTTTACATATACTATTATAAATATATTAAATATCATCTTCTAAATAATTTGATTCAAATTTTACAAAAAACATTTATATTCAACTATAATATTTTTGTTATTTATTTTTGTTATTTTATTATTTATAATTTATTTTAATATTGAGTATTTTTCATAGCAATAATACATTTTTAGTATATTTACAACTATTTAATTAACTTATATTATGTTTGATACATATAAAAGAAAATAAATAAATAAAAACTAAAAAAATTATACAATCACATAAAACAAAAAATACAATTTCAAATTAATAACCAATTATTTTTCATTGCAATTTTCTTCAACATATTTGTTTTTAACAGTAAAAATATATCACCACATTTTGTTCGATTACCGACTGATGAAAATATATTACTTATTCCAACATGATATAAAATACAAAATACAAAATATTTTGAGGTTAACATTAAATTTAAGTTTGCATTATATAAAAAATATAAATTTTTTTTCGAATATAGTAATTAAATTAAAAAAAAAGAAATGAGTCGTCCAATCATAAAATAATTAATGCAAACGAATAAAACTCTTTTCAACAATTTGTATCTACTAAAATACGATAAAATTAAATTTTACTACTTGCCATCAAGAAATTGTTCTTCAAAGAAAACTTCTGCAAATACAGTTGATAAAGATACAATAAGAAGATATGTATTTAATAGAAACATATTACAATTTTAAAGGTTTCCGTGATCACTAATTCTTTCATATATTAATGTAATCGAACAACAACCTTGCTGAATATAGTACTAGACATTTAGACAGATGGAATCTAGCGATTGGTTAATCCTAAATAACGAATCAGAGTATACCACGCTCTATATTTTAAGGGATATACACGACAAAATTATAACATATAAGATATAATGTATTCGAATCATTAGATTTATTATTATACTATAATAATGAAACATTGTTTGCATGCAGAAAATCGTGCAAAATATTAAATGTATTTTACATATATATATATATATATGGCATAGTTGCGTTTATTGCATTTTATTAAAAGATTTCAAATCTTTAATTAAAATGATATAATCTCAATTTAAGCAGATTACTTAATTTTGGGTTTTTTGAATCCCTTTGTATCGATAAAGATTGTGAATTTTTATGAATACACTATTTCTATTTTTCTAGAATAGTATGTCCCCTCTTATGTTAATATCTTTATACATTATAATATAATAATAATATATAACAATATATTATAATATAATAAGCATCTCATCACATCTTTCTTATTTTTGACTGCCTATTCAATTTTGTCTTGTTACGGATTACAGCAATTTTACGCGGTAAACAAATTGGGAGAGGTAAAGTCACCTATGCTTAGTTAGAAACACTTGCGCGCCGAGTCATAAACAATTTTGCAAACTCGGAAAGCCTCACTACTCAAAATATTCGAATATTACATTACAATTCCGACTAACAAGGGCCGACGAACTCCCCAAGGCTAGACTCTTGTCATGTCACTCTACCAATCAGCATGACAAGAGTGATCCAGTAATCCCCTGAATCGCAAGCCTGTACTAGGATATTTAAGGAGACGCGCTTGTCGCTCTCGCTCTCTTACTAGTTCAATCAAGCATCCATCAAGATCGGATCGCCATTCTACATATCGACTACAGCTCAACGTAAGCCAAGCTCATTCGGCCATCCAACGCTACAGAGATCGACTCCAGCTCAACGGAAGCCAATCTCACTAGGCCTATCAACGCTGCTATAGAGATCGATTCCAATACGTACGTAACGCTATTACACACGTAAGCTACGCTATTACACACGTTCTTACGTACTATCAATGCAACTGAGATCGACTCCAACACACTACGAGGAATCCTTCTACCCGTCAAGCAGTGACGTGACACGGACATCCTCCCTCCCTCAGACCGCTACAGCGCTCATCTCGCCAGCGGCAACGGCGGCATCATCGCTGCCCCTTATCAGCGCGAGTCTCCCATTACCACTACGAGTTCATAACTACGAGTAGGAGAATCAAGCACCAAGCTATCAAGAATACACTTACAGGATTCTTGTTGCTAATATTAATCGAAGAAACTCTCATCTATTCATTGTATCATACATTCATTTTCACATACATAGACCACTGACTATTGGTTATTATTATTATATTCAATTGACTACTCAACCCAAGAAGAAGCGGAAGAACCCTCCAGGCTATCAAGCACATACGCGCAGACTCATCGTCACCACCACTACTCAAGAAACACTAATATATACACTATATCATACACTCATTCTAATATTAATAGATTATTAACTACTCATTACTTATTACATTTAATAAAAGTAAAGACTATAAGCACAAAAGGCAGTGTTGAGTTATTGCATTGTCCCTTCCACTTGCCAGCAAGCCTCCATCCACCATCATAGGGAGGTTTTAGTCTGATCCCAGACATGTCTACTTCAGTTAAGAAATTATTCGATGATCACTTAAGCATGCTTACTTTTACTACGTATATCTTGTACATTTTGTTCTTCTTTCAAATGTTCTAAATACAATTGGCTGTGTAAGATGTAGAAATCAGTGTCTCCATAGTTTTTTAATACTTGATATTTATATTTTAAGAAATATGTAATTGCAAAATAAAGTTAATTAAGAATGAAAATTGGCAAAATTGAATTATTTCTCAAATTCTAGTTAAAGATATTCTGAAGTACAATTGTATCTTAAATCTTTATTATTTGTCAAGTATTACATTAAAAATATTTAAAATATTTTGCTATAATAATTTAGATTATTTGTATTATATTGTACGAGTTCGAAAATTAATATTTTAGAATTAAAATTTTAAATTACAGAAACTTAATTTGACTATTCAGAATTATTTTATGGAAAATTACATATTATAAAAATAGCTATAAATATCTATAATTTCTAATAGGGTATTACTAATTTACACTTCTAATTAGGGTAATTACTAATATTTTTTTGTTGATTTTTTTTTAAATTTATTAATAAGACAACTTCTGGATAGATTTTTGTTCTTCAATTAATTCATAAATAGTGATATATTTGTTCTTAATAATAAAAATATTTTAATCATTCGAAAGTAATTTTTCTATAAAAAAGAAATTTCTATTTTTCTATTTCAATATTTGATCATTAATAATCTATTTATAAATTCTATTTAGAATTAAATTTATCCTGTGGTCGAAGGATAAAGATGATTGCATTAGACTATGTACACCAGTTGCCTGGTGGGAGAAAAAAGTGCTGGCAAGTGGCAGGGATAGCGCATTAATTCAATATTTAATACATTTGCTTATCGTGATGTTTATTGAATTTTATTTTACAAACTGTATAATAATGATTCTAAGATGGAGCTGAGAATCGGTGAGATCTTGCAGTTCCGTAATGGTTGTCACGTGGTATTAGCGTGCACTACATGCAGAGGTAGGAGGTCGTAAATCTCTGGATCCTCTTGATATGTTGTTTAGAATTAACTAAGAAAAACCACTAGATGTTGTGTGGGAGAATGCGTGGGCAAGTGGAAGGGTTAATGCACTGATTGAATAATTAACACATTTATTTCTTATTGCTGTTAATTCCATTTACTTTCCAATTTAGGGATTATTACTCTTGAAGAGGTTATAAATGAACCTTTATTATTCCCAATGATGAATGTGGCGTTGAGGTTCACTTCTATTGGAGAAGCAGAAGGTTGTGAAGTGTCTGATCCTCTGGACGTAATGGCCTAGATAGTGATTTATTGGAAAAAGGGATAGATTATAAAAACTATCGTCACTTCTTGAATGTTGCCACTAGAGAATTTGTGACTGCTTCGTGCTCTGAAACGAATACTACAGTTCTTGTCTGCAGTCGTGATCCTGGTACGTGTTGCAGTTGCCTCTAAATAAGTGAATCGTGTGAGTGAGCATGAGCCTGAGATAGAGGTTAGAGGAATTGCACGCAACGGATTGCTAGTCTTACGAAGTGAGTTTGCGCAGGAAGCTTCTGGACACCAACTGCTTGCGGTCCCTGTATGAGTAGGCCGTAAAGTAAAGAATCGAACACTAATGATAAGACTTACTTGTTAGTTGTAGCGTGACCTTCTCTGTTTCCCTTCACAGGCATGAATGGGAAGCTTTCATGCACGATCTGCTTGCACTTTAGTAGATTGAACTTTCTTTGTTTTCTCTTCAGTAATATGACGGGAAGCTCCTTGGGCTCTAAAGGCCTGACGAGACTAAATATAACTGAATTATGAAGCACAGAAATAGAAAGCTACTTTACAAGACTCAGCTGATTGACTTTTCTCTTTTCCTTCTTCATAAGAATATGTCGTGACTTTTCATGCGAATAAGTGGTGGTACATTGTATCTGTCATTCTTAAATAATTCACTGATTCAGTTCTACTAGCGACCCCTTCTTCTTCCTTGTGTTCAATCAGAGCGCAACTTTGAGCAGCATGATTGATTATGCACGCCTTCATTTTCACTTCCTTCCGGGTTTTGGCATGAACATGCTAAAATCAGGAAGTGTCTGAAGGGGGGGGGCGTCTACTATTGGTCGTCTCTCCCGTCTCTGGAACTGAGCAATATGAGAGGTCCTATGGGAGCGCTGTCCATTAACCAGTGTGATCGGCAAAATGCAGCGTAGTTGAGAAAAATGTACGCATTGTCTTAAGATCCCGAATGCAAACGTACACCGATTGCCCGATGTCGCACGTGCGGGGTTTAGTGTTGCAGTGAAATTTAAGAAATGTTTTTATGGTCAAGAGTTTACGTACATCTGACACTTTCAATCGTTCTAGCATAAACAGACTTGACGCGTTCATGCCAGTAAACAGCTAGGCCATTAACGCGTCAAACAATGAATGAATTGGTAATGTTAAATAACTAGCATGACTAATTTACGGGTTTTTCCAGATATATCGACCTTTTCGTGTCTCCAATGTCTGTGACAGAATTTTCTACATGTGTAATAAGTTTAATGACACTCTAGCTTGATATGATATGAGAAGGAATATTCTGAAAACTAACGACTATTTAATGATGTTTGTTCGGGATTGAAGCAGTCCCATGAATTTCAAACAAAAGA